GACTTGAATCATTTTAGAATCTGGCAAAGATCAGACCAAAAATAAAAGATGATGTACTTTCTTTTTCCCATCACTCACTGTTCAGCTTCAGCTGCTGTGGTCTCAGTTGAATTTACAACATTTTATTGTATTTTTAAGCATTTGTACACACTTTCTGTTTTTCATCTCTGGTTGTTTTGAAACACTTTTACATCAATGTTTTTCCATTCTGTCTCCAGCCTCTCAGGTGTTTACTTTTCATGCACACTTGTTGGTTGACAGCTGTACTGACCCTGAAACAAGTAGGTGTGWGAAATAAAAAAAATACACATTCTCACATTTTCCGCACCCCTACAGTCAGTGCAAAGATGCACACTTACGCAAGGACTCAACGAAAAAATGTTTTAATTTGGAAGAAAAGAAAAACTGATGGGGCAAAAGAAACCAAAAGCATATAATATCCAGACAAGGAACATGCAAAAAAGACTGACTGCAAAGAAATAAGGACTGAGAAAAAAAGGAGGTGGGGACAGATGAGGTAAGTGATGGCAACAGGTACTAATGAAAATGAGGAACAGGTGTGGAATGAAAGCGTGAATGAGGTAAAGAGCTGGCTCAGAGAAAAGCACTGACAACAAACGAAACAATGGGGCATAAACTGAAGACAGGAGAAACAGAAAAAAGCAGTCAATTGTAATAAATTTCTCTCCATTAAACTGATCACAGGAGCCCCTCAAGGATGTGTGCTCAGTCCTGTGTTCTTTACTCTGCTGTCACATGACTGTTCTCATCAGCATTTCCTGATGATTAAGCATCTTACAGAGCAGAGGACATTAGTGAACTGCTGTCGAGACAACAAGTTAACAAAGTTGAAAAACCAAAAAAGTACATCCTCTCCCWGCACACCAGCAGCTCGGCTGTAGAATAGGTCAATAGATTCAAAACCATCCTGAGGAGGATGCARTTCTTCATAATGCAGAGGAATAAGAGAATCCACACACCGATCTTCACCATTTTTATTACCAGGTTACAAAACAGATCAGCAAGTTGTCTCTATCCTGGTAAGATTTAACAACATATGGTGAAAAAAATCATTGACTCGTTGAGGTTACACTCTCTTCCTTACAGACAATTTTAAGAAGAGATGAAAAAAATCAGTATTATTGGTGATCTTGGCTCTTTAATTTCCTGTCATCCAGCAGAAAATGTAGTACCTTTTTGTAAACAAACCATAACTCATAAGCAAAGCCACAAGGGTGAGGATCATTGCTCCCATTTGACAGAAACGACAGGGGGCAGGACTGGGTGCACAGACCCAGAGAAAAACATGGAAGTTCTGCATGCTGCAGTCCTGACGTGCATATTTGTGCTGATAGTACAACTCCAATACCATTTAAAATGTCAAAAGCAGCTAATTTGGTGTTTTYGCTATATATTCTAATTTTGGAACATGTCCTGAACCACTACTGGTAGTAGAGCTGCCAAGCATGAGATGATGAATCAGGTATGATTTCAGTTTATTTAGCTCAGCAACTGTGGCCTGTGGTAGTTGGTTCGGTTCGAGTCTGGTCTGTATTCACACCAGAAGCAAAGTGAAGCGAACCGCATCGGACTTCATTTGGAAGTAGACTGAGACCAGCTCAAAAAGTGGGTCTCAGTCCAGTTGTTTGGTCTGCACCAGGGTTCGCATGAGTGTATTTACACCTGCACAAAAAGTCTGGACCAACAGGGAAAATGAACATTTAAAATGGACCAAATGTGTCAGGTATGAATACACCTTTAGTTTTAGCTCTAACTGACCACATTTTGTTGCCAAATGTGATCCTACTCCCACTTCTTTGGGGGCGGCACCTGGGTGGCTAGGGGTGGCACTTGCCACCCTGACCACTCCTCTGGCTCCGCCCTTGAATGCAAGGCATGCCAAGCTTTAAACTTTTATTTTCTTTCATTTAAATGTGCACACTTCTAAATGAGAGGGCTACAACTACAATCTGACTGTTGTGTTCCTAATGAGTCTAACAATTAGTTAAATCTCAACTAAAATTTCCCAAGTCCAAATTCCTGTTCTACATTACTTTTCTCTAAATTATAAAAGCAGAAAACAATGTTTTGTTTTTCATTCTCTAACTTTCTTTTTTAATATTAATTTAATTGAAGTCAACATCAAACTTTCGTGGTTGGAATAACCTTTGTTGATGTTTGGAGTATAGTACAGGTGCTGGTCATAAAATTAGAATATCATGAAAAAGTAGATTTATTTCAGTAATTCCATTTAAAAAGTGAAACTTGTATATTATATTCATACATTACATCCATCCATCCATCCATC